GGGGGGGTGGGGGGGGGAGCAGGATCGACAGCAGCATTATCACTGTGCCTCCTGACTCAAACACCCCCAAGAAAAACCTCGGCACCGTTTGCTCTCATTGGCCCACTTTTCAGCCAATCGTGGCTCAGGAATGCAAGGTGCCTTTACAATTCACCCAACCCAAAAATATAGGGGAGAGAGGGAGGAAGAGAGAAAGAGAGGGGAGAACGGAGAGAGAGAGAGAGAGGTGTTGCAGAGATTCCTCCAGTGTGCCAGTGAGCGTCTCCTCAGCTGTGTGCTCCGCTGTTGCTCCTGCAGGAGTGAATACTCCAAGAGGGGAGGATAAATCACAGGGACCCCTGCAGTAGACTGACTACACGCTGAGTTGCAGCCTCTGCTGCTGCTGCTGCTGCTGCTGAACTCCTACTCCTCTTCTGCAGCTGGCCAACGCAGAGGTGCATGTGGAGGGTCTGAAGGGCATGAGGGGAAACGGGGCAGGTGGAGAGGAACCTCGTACAGGGATGCAACGTGAAGAAGGTGGTGGTGTTGGATGTATCTCCCACGTTTGCACTGAATTCTGAGGTGGCCGCTTAAGGTTTGAGTCACCTCAGCAGTTGTTGATCGAGGAGTCCAGGAGGGAGGCAGCGCTGGGAGAAGTTGACAGTGGAAGGATTCAGAATGATCCTGGGTAAGGCAGTGCTGAAATTTTTTTTGTCTGCCTCACAAACGTCTCTGAAAGTGATTATATATGCGTGGCACAAAGTTTCAGCAGCGTGTGCTGTCAGTGCTGTGTATCGTGTTTTTATTCAGTTTTACATAAAAGTGTTTTTCCTTCCGAGAACATCTGTCAGTAGAATGACACGATTCTACTTTTTAAAAAATATGTTACTCATATGTCCCTTTGTCTGTAGAACAGGGATGTAACCTTGTGAAATACTTAATAAAATAATCCTTAATCAGCATCATATCATATCATATATATATATATATATATATAATGACACCAGATGCCCTTCAATTACAGTCAAGGGTTACGTGTAACGCTCTAACAGTATATCACACGGCGCACACACAAACAAACAAAGACTTGAACATCTATCAGTCTATATTGATAGTTGCCTACGTAATTTAAAATATTGCGTAGGAACAGCTTTTTAAATTCATAAAATATAAAAAAAAAAAACATTAGCACAAAGTCATAGAAATTATGTTACACTTTTTATTCCTAAATAAATTCACCTTGTTACTTTCACTCGTATTTTTCCTAATCGTTTTTCGTTATTTTTGTTTTTTCTCTAACATTTTAATCATCTTCTCTATACGTTATAAAGCTCTGATTACTGTCAAATACATACCAAATATAAATACTGACATGACCATGTTGCAAGTAGATACTGTAGGTCTGCAGGCCACATATTTAACCACTTTTTTTTTCTTTTTAACCTCCTGCATCAGTCTGCCTGTGATCTGAGTGCAGGCCTGACCTTGTGCTAATCCCTCAGTGGTCGCTGAAGCTTTAGGTCTGTGTGTACAGGCCACTCAAACACACTGACATGTGATCACCAAGCCGTGGTGTGATGGGTTTTATACACTGTATTAGATTCTCGTCCCAGAGACGAGGATGGAGACCCGGACACTGAAATAGTTTCTGTGAAAAGAGAGATAAGAGTGGTGGCGTTGACTGCAGTAAGTAGGGCTGAAACATCAACAGCTGTAGTTGACCAAAACTACCTTCTCTGCAGGTGCAGTTGTAGCCATCACTAAATGTCAACTCTGTCTAAATGCTGTGTATTTAACAGGGAGGGAAAAAAATTAAATATAGCAAAAGGATCAGTGTTGAAGCAGGAAAGACGTGCCGAGGCGTCCTGTTCTCCCTGGATGTAGAGTATTTAGTAGCGCTTGTGTGATCCCTATAATGAATATTTAATACCCAGAGGTTCAGGGTCTTTACTTATTAAAAAAAAAGAAAAAGAACAAGAAATCCAGGGCTTTTCCTAGTCTGGCACAAAGACCTCGATCAGCAGAAAAAAAAAAAGTTAACAGTTTGCCTCCTTCTTCACTCAACTAGCAGCAACTCTGTGTGTGGGTGATATCTGTACACACACACACGGACACGGAGAGAATCCCCCACTCGAAAAGGAAGAATCACAGAAAGACAACACGGTTTTTGAATTAAGACAAAGCAGCCACAGAGAGAGATTATTGACATTTTAAAATAAGGAAGGTGACAGAAAAATGGAAACAAGTGTGTTTGTGCATTGACATTTTAAAATAAGGAAGGTGACGGAAAAAAGTGTGTTTGTGGAGCCTGAAACTATTAAAGTGATACTTAAATAAAATTTTTGGTTTATTTATTTTGGAAAAGCATCCATGGAAAATAGAGCCATATCTATTATTAGGTAAAAGCAAATAAACACTTAGTTGTAGTGTAATAAAATTACACCTCACATCAGCTACTGTACACTTATTTGAACAATGAAAAAATATTTTTTTCAGTTAACTTGTCAATCATGCAGAATTACTTATATTTACTGTATATTTACTGTATATTTGTTGATACTACTTTTTGGGTTCACACAAAACGTATCTTAAATACAAAACACATTTTGATCATTCAGCTTCACCAAACTGCAATTGTAAAAGTCCGTTGTTTTATATATTAGTGTTAAGATTTTTCTGTCCGACCCTCAGCCATAAACAGGCAAACTGAATTTGAACCTCATCTGAAATCAAACGCCTCCCTGGTCGTGAAATTCTTCAAAATGACTCGTGCCTGATGCTGACAGTGCAGAACTCGGCCATTTATTTTTTTTAAGAAGAATTATGAGGTTACTGTAAGTGGTTCAATAACTGGATCCAAGGATGCTAAAAAAAAAAAAAAAAAGGTGGAACTGCACACAGACCAGGAAGTGAGCATGCAGAAGTTTCTTTATAATTTTAGATTTTTACAGTCCTGAAGTGAATCAGACCACAGTCAAACCAAGAGTGACTCTCCCCCTGGATCACTCCTCTCTGGTCCCGTTATAACTGTACTACAGCATAAAACCACACACAACTGTCATTCAGATTCCAGTCTACTCCAGAAACACAGCCTGTAATTTCTGCCTCGGTGGAAAAAGAGAAGCAGCTTCACATACAATACAGCTGCATCAGGATGCTCTTTTTTTTGTTTTGTTCTGCTAAGCATTTATTGACTTGGTTTGTTCTCTTTTGTATGAATAGACATGCATGGCCCTGCACCTGGCTCCAGACGCCATTGTTACGGCAGTGTGTGTGTGTGTTTGCATGCTGGTTTGTGTATTTAACCTGCTCGGCTGTCAGTCCACACTGTTTGTCTTGATCCTGGCCGGTGTGTAAAATGTTCTGCAAACAGATTAATAAGGTGAAGCAGAGCTCTGGTGATGTTGACACGGTTGGACCACACACACACGCACGCACACACAACACACAATAATGTATTTTATATATATATATATATATATATACACACACATATATATATATATATATATACACACACATATATATATATATATATATACACACACATATATATATATATATATATACACACACATATATATATATATAAGGTGTTGATTTACTCTCTAGAAAAGCATTCTGGGGCCACATGATATAAGAAAACCTGAATCTTACTCTTACATGTCTGTTAGCGTTGCTAAGCTAAGACAAGTATATGTTTTCTTTTATATTTCCGTCTTAAACGCAGTCAGAAATGTTAGTAAATCAGTTTGACAGTTTTACCACTGAATGAATGATCTGTACGAAAGAAAAGCCCAATGGTATCACACACGCCTCAACATCAACACAACTACGTTTCGTAGACCACACTTTACACAAAAAAACGTCTTTTCAATGTAGTAAGAATCACAACAACTCAGTGACCCACATACCGAAGGTGGGAATCAAACATATCATGTGGATACGACATGTGAACAACCCGTGAGGGAGCCGCAAAATATCTGAAAACTGCTCATGAATGTTTGATGTTGTGCATCTGAGAGTCAGGTTAAGTCCTACACGCTGCCGTATTGACCGTCCGTTTGCCTTTTCGTTGTTTGGACAACGTTACCATCAGATTTGAACAGCTATGGCTGCGTGAGATAAAAACCCACTTCCCACTGCAAATTAACCTGCAGGTTAATGTGTCCCTCTACCTCCTCTGGTCACCTTGGACTCACCTTAGAGCGTTCTGTTCCCTCCCCCTCCCCTCATGATTGCCTGCACCTCCCGTTCAGACGTCTTTTTTTCACTCCATTCACTCTGCCCCCACTGCCTTTATTTCTCAGCAAGCTCTTCGTTTCTTGCCTCCGTGTCGCCTGACAGTCAGAGGATGTAGCAGGAGGGGGGTTACCGCTGTATAATTTCACATTTTCAGGGGACTTTTGAGGGGTGACGGCAAGGGGAGAGAAGAATGGACCAAACAATGAACAACCGCAGTTACATAATGACTCTAATTTTAACAAGTGGTGGAATTAAAATCTCTGGGGGGAGGAAACAAAAGTCTTCAATAATTACAAACACTGCATGAAATCAGAGTGGTGATGTAGGAGGACTGGCCTATCACACACACTCACACACACACACAATTAAAAAAGGACTTCTGAGAGTTCTCTGGGAGGCAGCGTTTAAGTCCAGTCACTGGGGCGAGGAGCATCTATCATTAAAACAAAGTGCAGACAGAAATAAACTGTGTTCTCCTTCATCGGTTCTCGGTTCTTTCCGCCCAATGTCCCGCTCTCACACAGTCCAACACCACATTAATTACCCCCCCAGACTTTAACGGGCTCCTAACTCACATATATTCAGACAACAAAGGTTTGTGTGTCTGTGTGTGTGTGTGTGAAGAGTTGTCTATCCTCCAGTTGAAAAAGATGCCTGTGACTTAAGGGTAAGCTGAGACGCAGTAAATTAGATTTCACGCTCAGTCCTTCACAGCGGCAGCCTGCGACACTACACACAGCTATCTTTACTCTACAAAAAAAAAAAAAAAAAAAAAACACGACAAAGTTAGGGCAGTTAGCACAGCGACGACGTGTACCAGCCACCAGGGGTAGAAATCTGAGGGAATTATTATATTTATAAGGATGTGATGTTTACAGGAAAAAGTGCCAAAACAGTGAAGTTCACAGTTTATAAAAACACATACCCAGTACTTCTTCTTCTTTTGGTTCTTTTGTTTGTTGTACTGACCTTCACTGATAGATGAAGCTGTGGCTCATTATCTGATTTTACAAACTGTGAGTGAGAAAATGCAGCTTATGCTGCAGTACAGTATGAATCTAAATAACGTCAATAAAAGCTCAACATTTTCTTTGAAGTACAGTATGAATCTAAATAACGTCAACAAAGCTCAACAAAAAAAAAGCCGAAGAAACAACAAAATATTTTTACATTTTAAAGATTAGATAAGAAATAAGTGATAGCTATCAGGACTGACATGTTTGTGTGCGAAATAAGTGATAGCTATCAGGACTGACTACTGACTACTGTTTGTGTGCTATAGCGCCCCCTGCACCTCAAGCAAAAATGTGACAAAGATTTACATTGGGGTTCTTTTTTTTTTAAATAATCCACAGATTTGTAAAACTCTACACTTCTACATCAATAATAAACACGATATAAAAAATGGTTTATTTACTAAAACAGTTTTTAATGCACACAAATTTGACATCTTAGAGTTTTGAGAGAGTTACCGTCTCTATAATGGCACTACTGCCACCTACTGTTTTAATTTTGCATCCCGGCTGTTGTACAGTATGTAGTCACATATATTTGCCGTGACCAAAAACTAATAAAAATGTCTGAGAAGATTTACTCTATGAGGTTTGTTGTTTAACACTCCGGCGTGTTCTAGCACCAAGCTTCTCTGTCAAACAACAACAGACAGAAATAACTGATGATGATAATCTGTTAGAATTGTCATCTTCCATCTATTGTTCTCTCAGATCAATAGGCTGGTTTAGAAAAATGCTTTTTTTTTTTTTAGAAACCCTGGTTGTTCTGTAGATCCGGGGGTTCCTGCCATAGCTGTCCCTGTCCCTCAGATACTAAGAATGGAGGAGGTTGGGGGGGGGCGGGTAGCGAGTGGTAGGTTGTAAGCGGATGCAAGCTAATCCACCGCAGAAGCTCATTTCAGAGTCATCTGTGAACAGCAGTCTATTTAGATGCAGATGTGAAGTGAGCAAAACAGCACGAGCAGCTAAAACGCCGCTACGTTTTTGTTTGGTTTTTTTACGTCCAGTTTTCATACATACACATTTGTGTTTTTTTTTTTTAAGAAAAAAAATGGGCCTGTACAATGTTTTGTCCTCCATCATCCTGTTAAATGCCACGTCACATGGTCCCTGGTCCCCCTCTCCCTCCCGGTGTCACGATGGAGTTTATGGAAGCGAGCAGGGAAAAGGCTCCAGCTGCATCACTGACATTGGCATTACCTCTGTGATCATTAGGACTAAATTGGCTAAATGAATTGCCAATTTGAGAGGCCTTAGTCACAGCATATTGGTGTGTGTGCGCGCTCACATCGGAGGTTTATGAAATCCTCTGTGATGATGAGATTCTGTCTCTCGTCCCTCTCTGCCCCCCCGCCCGCTCTTCTCTTTAGTTTTCTACATCCACCTCGCCGTTGCTCGCAATCAACACAAAAATTCAATAAGCTATTAAACAGACATTGATCTAATTCTCAGCCAAACATTTGCATTAGAAAAGGGCAGAAAGGAAAAAAAAAAAAACAGTGCAGTCTGTTCATTTTTTTTTTTTAAAGGAGAAAGGGCCACAGTGCACGGTGAGGGCGGGATTTATAGAGTTTGGCAGCACTTCAACACTTTAACACTCTGGAGAATGTGTCCAATCAATGGTCCTGCTCACAGCGTGGATGCTGTTGAAGAGTCGTAGCGTTTTCTTATCTGATGTCATTGTAAATCACTCAGGAGGAGGGTTGAGCAGCAGCAGCAGCAGCAGCAGCAGCCGAGGCGCAGCCCCCGACAGCCCCCCCGCCCCTCCTGCGGCTGCTGCTGCTGCTGCTGCACTCACGCTGCAATGAGGTGCTGCAGGATTTGACATTGAAAACACAGTGAATTTTAAAATGCAGACTCGCTGTGACCTTTGAATTGTAATGTTGCGTAAAATGAGCTGCAGTTTAAACCCAGGCATGTCAGGAAAATGATCCACCAAACCAAGAGGAAACAACGATGAACAATGAAACGTTTCCATTTATATTATTCTCATTAGAGAAACCACTCTCCCGCTGGTGCTTAACATTATAATGTGCCACGGTTTTTTTTTTTTTTTGTTTTTTTCAAATATTCACACACAGTTC